TCGTGACCTACAGCTCACTTCATTTGTTAGTCTCCAAGGTGCCACAAGTACTCCTTTTCTTTTTGCGGATACAGACTAACACGGCTGCTACTCTGACATCTGTTTATGCTCAGTCAGTATTACCATTTCAATTTTTGAGTTGTTATAAACCAGCTGTTTAAAAAATGCTGTCACCTGGATTTTGGTATACCAAAAGCAGCCTGTGAACAAACTTTGTAAACAAAAATTATTTGAATGGATTTGGCGGTAAATAAAACATACTAATTTTATGTGCTTTTTTTGAAATTCTCTAACAAAAAACCAATAGTTTTAGTGATATTTTGGGCAATCACATTTTGAAAACGTATATTTAAATATTGTAATTATTGTTTGCCTGTGCATACATAATATTTTGTTTTTGTTGTATGTAAATTCAATACTAATGATCATAAACCATGCAATTTTAGTTTCCTATCCTCTGACATCTGTGGAAGACATTGGTTTGAAGTATATAGGAATTAAATGCATAGGAGAAAACAGTGGCTCCTTTGAAAAAGGAAAGTGTGATTCATATAGAGTCAGAAGAAACAACATATGCAGTGGATGTGCATTAAGAATCGTCCACAAAACTAGGACATCCTAGTATGTCTACTGGCATGATAAATATCCATTTCTACCAACAAAAGAGTAGGCTAATTTTTTAAATTTTACTATTGAGGCTTTTGGTGAAATCTGCTAAAGCAGAACTCAGTTCTTGGCTCATTCTGGTTTGCCAAGAGCTTTGCAAGAAGCTTCCCAAATTAATGACTTTTTAGAATGAGCTTAATGAGGGTTTTTAAAGAGTTTACTCTTTGTGTGGAATATTTAAATAAATAAGGCTGTACTTCAGTTATCACTGGATGATTTTACTTGAAGTGACTCACTGATGATATTTGTAACAGGTTGGCTTTTTCTTCAAAGGCTGGTAGGCACAGGTGAGTTGAATCAGGTAATTCCCTATAACAGGTAGCAGGTGGCTGTAGCAAAGTGGGGAAGTTCAGGAAACTGCAGGAAGTTAGAGAGCCTTTTGTAGGGAAGACCCTGATCCCAGGTGGTTTGGAAGCAAGAGGTTTCAGCCAGGTAAGGCCTGGGAGTGGCCTGCCAAAGCGGGAAAGGCCCCAGACAGGAAGGCCTGAGTGAAGGCTAAATTGGAGCTTCCTGGGAGTGAACAGACTCCACCAGAAAGTGATGTGGGGTTTCCCTACTGAGACCACAGGCAATAAAAGCCTGGGAGTGACTTAGGGTGACCAGACAGCAAGTGTGAAAAATCGGGATGGGGGCAGGGAGTAATAGGCGCCTATATAAGACAAAGCCCCAAATATCGGGACTGTCCCTATAAAATCGGGACATCTGTTCACCCTAGAGTGACTCGACCAGAGGGTAAAACTGACATACTGTGTTTTGGGACTTAGAGTTTTATTCTGGAGTTTTATTTATGTGAATAAACTTAGGCCTCTGAGAAGGGGTGGTGAATGGACAAGAAAAGCCTCTGTGGAGCTTGTTTAAGAAACTCTTTGAGGGAGAAATTGTTACCGGGGCACTGCAGAGGTACTTTTGGGAGGCAGCTGACCCTGCTACAGTATTAACAGCAATCTTTTCATAGAATTGTAAAAGCAAATATTTTTGTTATAATTCTGTTTAAAAATCACTAGCTTTTTTGCTTTATCTTTTGTATATTTCTGAACATATCCAGATATTACTTTTTGTATTTGTTTTTTCTTATGTAAATCAGAAAAGTCAAGAATTTGTAACAGGAAGTATGAAGTTCTTCTTTGATTGCACGCCATTTCAGTGGTGTGTGTGCCCTCGCACATTCCAATTCAGATGTGTGCATGCCCAGTTCAGCAGAATTGGAGACTTTTTCCTTAGTGGTACCCATTGGGCGGTGCATGTGCCCTCTGCTGCCTTGTGTTGCTGCATAATGGTATAGAGGGCGGCACTGCCCTAGCCCATCCTCAGTTCCTTCTTACCATGATCACTTACTGTGATCAGTAGTGGGAACCTGTCGGCTTGCTCCTGCAAGTTTCTCCCCTCACAGGGAATTTATCTTATCTTTCTGTAAATAGCTGGGACTTGTTAGTTAGTTCTTTATATTCATATACATTTCACTTGTTGTTTTTGTTGTTTTATTGGTGCATTGGTTCCCTTTTGTTATGGGGTGCTGACTCTGGGTACTTGGGAATGCCTCAGTCTGTGGAGTTTAAGCCTTGTGCTGGCTACAAAAGATCTATGGCAGTAAGTGACCCTCATTCCACCTACCTAAAATTTCTCGGCAAGGGTCACATTAGAGATGCTGCCAAATTTTCAGGGACTTTAAGCTGTGAAAGAAGAAAGAGAGGCAAGGCTGCGCCACACCGTTAGTGAGGCTGTTCTGCGTCCACCTGATGAGCCCTGCTTGGGGAGTGCACCAACTGCTTTGGTATCGGTGCAGAGTGCTCCCCTGGACACTGGCACTTCTCCAATGCTGAGGAAGAAGGATAAAAGGTTGAATTCATCCAAGGAGCCGAGGCTTGGGTGTGCTAGAAAATCTAGGTCCCTGGTTCCATCCACCAGTAAGCACTTGCAAGGACAGAGGAAGGTGTCTTCTGGCAAGAGATGCTCGTTGGTACCAACCACTTCACATCCAAGATTGTTAACTGTGACACCGGTACCAGGGCCATCAAGACTGAACCCATAATGATACTGACTATTTCTATGCAACATGAAAGGATCTCAGTATCAGCAAGGCTGGAGGTATATGTGACAGCACAAAACATACTCTCCCTTTTGGTGCTGGACTCCCAAGATTACAGGAGACAGCTCACCCAGTGCAAGTGTATCCTCAGGACTCAGCTATAGACTTGCCTGAGGGTAGTGGCTTTGGTACTATGAGTGGATAAAGCATCAGTCTGTCTCTCGACCAGTGCCGTCTAGGAGGGGTAAACCTACCTTGATATCCCTGGTATCAGTACGTCTGGAGCTGCACTTTAATCTCGGCATTGCCTGGTATGGCATCACCATGATCAGCTGACTCAGGGTCTTCCTCAGAGTCTGAGGTAGGCTCTTATGCCTCTCGCTCCTGAGGCAGACAACGACTCTCCTTTTCCTTCATCAAGAGAGCTGTGTTGCTGATGCCCACCGGAGGTACGAAGATGCTCCAGAGAAAGAGAACCTTAAATCAGTCATAGCTGGAATCATATGCCATGTACCCATGGCTCCAATGAAACCTGCTTCTAAATCCTCCCCAGTTCCTCTCTTTAAAATCTGCCACCAGGTGCCATGAGGAGTTCTAGGAGGATGTCTTCACGACTGAGCAAAATCCTCAACCTTCGGAATATCCACCCACTATGCTGCAGGTGAATCAGTCTCAGCCTCCTTTATATTTGTCCTCATCATTGCCTGATGAGACTGTAGTGCCACAAAACACTTCACCAGTCCAAGATGACTACAGGGCTTACCAAGACATTTTCAAACAAGTAGCTACCTCTCATGATACCCCTTTTGAGGGAGTGTTTGATTAGCCTTGTAAACATTCTGGTTTCAATAGGGCCATCTAGAGTGGCTGTCCCTATCAACAAGGCCTTCCTGGAGTCTGGAAGATCCTTGTGGCAAATGCCATCTTCTCTGTCTCGAACAGCCAAGGGAACCAAAAAAGGTACTATGTGCCTGCTCAAGGCTATGAGCCTTTTTATACCCATTCATTGCCAGGTTCCTTAGTTGTCTTAGCAGTGAGTGAAGGAACATATCTGGGATGGCCTTCTTCTTCCCCAAGGACAAGCATGTAAAGAGACTAGACCTTTTTGATAGAAAGGTTTACTCCACAGCTGGCCTACAATTTCATCTCTCTAACCAGCAAGGCTTCTCCCTCTGGGACTATGTAGTTTTCAGAGAAGTTGCCAGAGTATGCCAGGCAGGAACTCCAGGCCATCTTAGCAGTAGGCAAACTGATGGTTAGGATTCTTTGCAAACTTCTTTAGATGGGGCAGATTTGGCAGCCAGCGCTATGGCATCTGCAAATGCTCATGGAACGGAGGGGAGTCTGGGGCAGCTCCGCCTTTTATACCATCACGCAGTAGCATGAGGCAGCAGAGGGCCCATGTGCTGCCCCAATGGGTACTACTAAAGGAAAAATCTCTAACTCTGGTACACTGGGCACACATTCATCTGAAGTGAAATGGACATGTGCAACACATCTTGAAGAAAAAAAGTTACAGAATTGGCTAGTAACTTTTTTCTATTTAATAAGAAATGGAGTGGGATACACAAATAAGATTGCAGTCCAAAATAACTCCATTTACATTTGAGGTGAAAAGAGTGCACACTTTCTGTCAGGTTCTAAGTATCTACCAGATTCAGTTATTTCTAAATATAGGATGAATTGTAAAGAAATGTGAAGACCAACTGTAAATTTACAGAGTAAGGGCCAGTCCTTCAAATACTTATACATGTACTTAATTTTTAATATTTAAATCAATGAGACTACTTTCATATATTGTTACTTATGTGCATAAGTGCTTGCAAGATTTGACCAATATTGCATTCTTTTACAAGCGTCTCAGCAAACCAAAAACGTGTATGGGCAATATTTGAGAAATTTCAATCAAGTGAGAAATGACCAGTTTTATTAGATACACACATAGATGCAAAACAGTTTCTTGGTGTTCTGGTATTTTGAGCACTGATAATATTGGCATTTCTTTATAAAGGCAGGAGCTTAGGAGATGTGGGGATAAATAGATTACACTGATACAGAATACAGTACATGCACTGTGGGTGTTTAAGAAAATGGATGTATATCAAGAATGAATCTTGAAAGTAAAGCTATGATTTTAGGGGGCTGGATTTTTCTCAGAAGCCTTTGTTTTCTCACATCTCAAAACATTCCTTTTCGTTATAATTCCACAGGTCTGAAAAAATAAATTATGCTTCCAGATAACGTAGATACATTCTGTATTTCTTGATAACACATTGAGATTACATTGTTTTCACACCATTTTGTTTAGATGACAGTGCCTCTGCTGCAAGCAGTATGGAGGTAACAGACCGCATTGCTTCTCTGGAGCAGCGTGTCCAGATGCAGGAAGATGACATCCAGCTGCTCAAATCTGCCCTGGCTGATGTGGTTCGACGTTTGAATATTACAGAGGAACAGCAGGCCATGCAGAACAAGAAAGGACCTACCAAAGGTTTGCATTTCAAATATATGTAAACAAATGTATTTAAAATTAGTCAAACATTTATCTGTGTTAAAGTTTGTCATTATTTCAGTCTTTTAAAACACTCAGGATGAACAACTAAATTTAAATTTAAAAACAAAATTCATCACCTACTAAATAGAATACATAAAAAAACAAAAGTAAGTGTAGCAGTCTTTCAGAAGGTCACACAACCTATTAAAGCATCTGCATTTTCTTACTGTTTTAATCCACATTTTTAATTTTCCCACAATTCCTATTTGCTGCCTCTTGACCAAAATTAGATCATAAACTCTTCAAGGAGTGGGTCATCTTCTGTGGACTGAAACCCCTATTTTATCTTGGCAATACAGATGAAGCTGATCAGACAGTGAAGATGGCTAAGCTGTCTTTGAGTATCTCGTACTAACCTAGCTTGATTCATGTTGTGAAGAATAATGTCAATTTATACAAAGGTAATAAAAAAATTAAGTTGAGCATCCAGTATTACATAGATAGCTAAGGGTTGCTGCAACCAGAATGACATGGTGTAAGTCGTAGTAGTCTGATGTAGTCAGATTTGCTTGCTGTAAAAGTGTGGTGAGTTTGTTGCCATTTGAAAGTTAGTCCAAAATGCATGGTTTTTTTTGTTTTTCCTCTTTTGTTCTATAATCTTAATAGAAGTAATTGTGGCAAGCTAGATGTGAAAACTATGGCTAGGTTCACAAGCTCTCTGATACCTGAATTATGAAAGTACTTTCATTATAAGTGGGATATATTTTCACTTAAAATAAACTTTTTAAATTTATATTTGAAGGAAAATATACATTTTATGGTCTTGTAAGTAAGTTACAGGGCTGAGAATCAGGGATTTGGACTTTTCTCCCAGATCTACCATAGACCTTCTGTGTGACCTTGTGCCATCAATTACTTTTTAGGCCCTGATGCAGCAAAACAGTTGAGCACATGCTGTGGTGAATTAGGGCCTTTGTATGTTTTGGAGGGGGAGGCCAGCAGCTCACTGTGGAACTAAATTAATGGGTTTTTAAACACACTAGTTCTTGGCTGGAACATGCTGAAGGAGTCCACGCTATTATTGTTTTGTCTCTCCTATTGTTGTTAGGGTTGCCAGGTTTTTGACTGGAACACCTGGTCGAAAAGGCACCCCGGTGGCTCTGGTCAGCACCGTCAGCATCACTGACCGGACCGTTTAAAGTATGGTCGGCAGCGCAACAGGGCTAAGGCAGGCTCCCTGGCTCCGCGTGGCTCCTGGAAGCGGCTGGCATGTACTTGCAGTCCCTAGGCATAGGTGTGACCAGGGAAGCTCTGTGCATGTCCCCATCCCAAGTGCCAGCTCCGCAGCTCCCATTGGCCAGGAACTGCGGCCAATGAGAGCTGCAGGGCCGGCACCTGTGGGTGCAGGCAGCGCGCACTGCACAGAGCTGCCTGGCTGCTCCTCTGCTTAGAAGCCAGACATGTGGCCGCTTCTGGGAGCCGCAAGGAGCCAGGGCAGGCAGGTAGCCTGCCTTAGCCCCGCTGCGCTGCTGACTGGGAGCCCTGAGGTAAGCGCTCCCAGCAGGAGCCTGAACCCCCACCCACACCCCAACTCCCTGAGCTCCCTCCCAGAGCTCGCACCCCACACCCCCTCCCTCACCCAACCCCCTGCTTTAGCCCTGAGCCTGCTCCTGCACTCCAAACCTCTCGGCCCCAACCTGGAGCCCCCTCCTACACTCCAAACCCCTCATCCCCGGCCCCACCCCAGAGCCCGCACCCCCAGCTGGAGCCTGCACCTGCTTCCTGAGCCACTTGAGATAAGCGTGTCCAGCTGGAGCCCGAACCCCCACCCACACCCCAACCCCCTGCCTGAACCCTGAGCCCCCACCCGCACTCCAAATCCCTCTGCAGCAGCCCAGAGCCCCCTCCCATATCCTGAACCCCTCATGTATGGCTCCACCTTGGAGTCCGCACCCCCAGCCAGAACCCTCACCCCCTTTCGCACCCTAACCACCTGCCCCAGCCCAGTGAAAGTGAGTGAGGGTAGGAGAGAGTGAGCAATGGAAGGAGGGGATGGAGTGAGTGGGGGCAGGGCCTCAGAGTAGGAGCGGAGCAAGGGGACCTTAGGGAAGGGGTGAGGCAGGGCAAGGGTGTTCAGTTTTGTGCAATTAGAAAGTTGGCAGCCCTAATTATTGTCCTTGCTTCTTTTGCTGCCAGAAACTGTTTAAGGTCTGATAAAGTAAATACTACTATAAGTAGCTTCAGAAAAAAAAAAAGCTCCATTCCAACGTAATTTTTGAGGGGCTAAGAAGCCCTATGTTACATTTACATTCAGAGTTCTTTGAGGTGAGAAAACAAAGGCCAGTAACTATTGTCAAATTGCAGCCAGATCAGTTCTTATTCTTAGGCTTCATGCCAGTGTAAGAAGTACAACTACAGGGCCAGTCCTGCTTGCATTGAAGTTAATGGTGCATTGACTTCGGTAGGATCCGAACTGGATGCTAATATAGCAGATACTTTCTTTATGATGGCAACTTTCTAAGGAGTTTGTACCACATACTGCAGAGGAAGAGCGTCAACTGACATGAGCTGTTCGGCCATCACAAACTACTGAAATAAGTATTGATAACATTTGTGATTTGCTCTAGGGCAATTTCCTGCTAATTTCCAGAAATAGGTACAACTATAAATATTAATATAAAATTTATTTTTATCATGATATTTCACCTTCATCATCACTGTCTGCTTCCCCCATACCTCTGCGGGGCTATCAAGTAGAATCAGAAGCATCTTAATAATTTGTTCCTTTTAGCAGTTTTGACAAAATGCTAAACTTCAGAGGTGGACATTTTTCTCATGAATTATAGGTAAAACTATTTTTGAACAAACTGCATATCTCAAACAACTTAAAACCAAACCAATAAAAACGCTTAACAATTTCCTGTATGTTAAAATTGCAGTATACCTCACTTTTAGGAATAATAAAAAACTTCAGAGTGATAGTTTAGAGCAGCAGTGACTAACAATGACCGTTACGGGAGGGATTTGACTAGAGGGGGCCAAAGCTGGAACTGCAGACATCTTGTCATGGGAAGTTGATTGAGACTCAAACTTTTTCCCATCGATTGCACCTTTAACCCCCAGTGCGACAATTATTAAACAAAAAATTGAACTTGGATCTCAAACACTCTCATGCAAAAGACTGACATATAATAGTCAGGATTTAAAGTGCAGTTATATCTTGTTTGATGCAGATATTCAACAATTCAAATCAGAGGTGCCATGTTGGGGCCCACCTGAGAGAAAAGTAAACTCCCAGCTCAACTTTTAAGACCTGGCACTGGGTATTGCAGTGGACTGTAGATTCTAGAACCACTGCAGACTGCTCAAATTTTCCCATGGCACAATAGTTAACGTTGCTTGGTTTAAAGCCTAATGAATTCCAATTTTAGACAGCATAATGAAGCTAAGCTCAGGATAAAATCAGTTATTGTTTGTGCAGTGTTGTATGAGCACTTGTGTGAGCTTTCAGTCATGTAGTTAAAAAATACATACAATGAAACTTCAGTTGCTTACCTAGTCCAGTTAGGAGTTAATTTACTAATGGCTTTTAAAAAATTTAATTAGCCTATTATGTAGAGTTTTTATGACTTCCTGCCTTTCTTTTATTTTTGTTTGTTATTCTTTCCTTTTTTCAATTATTGGTTTGTTTGTAATCTTAATAGCCCTATTAATCCATAGATCAGAGTATGACTAAAAAAGCAGCTGATGCTGAGCCTGATAAACATGTCAGTGCTGCTACAACAGGTAAGACTGAAGCAACAGAACTTGCAAAATCAGTATGTAACAACTGACAAAACTATAATATGAATGACTGAGTTACTAGCAAGCTAACAGTACTGACATGTTTGGAGCTATTTGACAGCTGTAGCTATTTAGAATAACTGTAATAAATACAACAAATACAACTGATTAAAGAATTTAAAAAGAGTTAATAATGTAACACTTAAGAATTCCAGGTTATTGCTGTATTGCACGCCTTTTTCACTCTAACTTTGTAGTAGTAATAGGGATAGAACATGGATCCTTGTGCTCCCGAAGCACAGGTGCTTACCACTTGATTAGAAGGTGAATCTCCATTAGCTGGTAGCAGTATAGCATTTGTGACATACTGTGGAATAATTCTGATTCTATCCAGGTAAGAAGGTAGGTACACACTTAGCCAGCTCATTCCAACACTTTTTAATAGGTTTGGGTGTTCATACATGTATCCAGTTATGAAAACACAGAAGCTGTTTGTCAGCACGTTAACACTACTGCACAACAGTTTAAGACCAGATATGAAGAAAAGCACATCTAGCCAACTGCAATGGGAACTTACTTTGGCAAAACAGAATCATCTGAGTGTTTATATGGCCATGACATTGGTGTTATGAAAAGACCATTGGATGGTTAATGACCACAAGTTTTCAGGACATTGGTTTCATATGTCAACCACAAGGTAGCACCTCTATATTAAAAAAAATGAAAACATGAAGAGCAGATTTATATTTTAATGTTATTAGAAAACTTTGTTTTGGTGACTAATTTGCATTGCAAAATGCATGAATCCAATTTTTGTTAGTATCTATAATACTTTCTGTTCTGGTATTCACATAATTTAGTGCTCCTTCTTGTAAAATGTGCTGCAAGCTTTCATGCTCAAAATGGACTTCAGTGCTCAGACATGTTGGCTAAAGTCAGTTAACATGCACAAACATACGAAAGCTTGTTTTGTTCAGAGTTTGAAAACCTGAGGTCTGCAAGGCAGTCAGGGGTGGCCAACCTGTGGCCCCGGAGCCACATGCGGCTCTTCAGAAGTTAATATGCAGCTCCTTGTATAGGCACCGACTCCAGGGCTGGAGCTACAGGTGCCAACTTTCCAAAGTGCCAGGGGGTGTTCACTGCTCAACCCCTGGCTCTGCCATGGGCCCTGCCCCAACTCCACCCTTTCCCTTTCCCTCCCCTGAGCCAGCCTT